AAGACTATAGCACGGTAAGTGAACGGGGTAATTTGTGCATGTGTAACTGTGCGGTGATCCGATGTTTCTCTTCAAAGGAAATATGGAGAAACAAAAAACACCGGGGTGGGATGAGAAGACCCAAAGCCTCAGGCATCGTGGTTGTGTAGTGTATAGCCGGACAGTACATATCATCAAACCAGGAGGGGCAAAAAAAAAAAACGCTTCCAAAGGGCGTTCTAAAGTCAGACAAAAAATATATATAACAAACAAATAACCACAACCCAGAGTTATGTCACGAAAAGAAGCTTCCCAGCCTTGTTCCATGGGTGATGGAGCGCATAATGCATTCCCGTTCTTCCAAGGTGAGAAAGTCCTCCAGGAGCTGCAGCAACTCGGCTGGCCGGATAGATACATCATAGTTCAAAGAGTGGCACATGTCCCACTCCGTCTGAGCGCAAACCCCACGCAAAGACGAATGATCGTGTGAATTGGACGGCAGTAGAGACACCAAGTAGTTAAGAGTGATGTGGTAGTCTGTGTGCCACTTGAGTGCCAGGGAAAAGGCAACAAAAAGGTTTCTCCAGCAATTGCCCAGGTAAAGACGGAATGGAATATTTCTCTGTAAAGTACAACGTCGCCCCATGCGTTTCTCAACGGAGTGTCGAAGTTGAAGCTTGTCAAGAATACAAAACGCGATCACCCAGGCGGCGGCATCCACGCCGACAAAGCTGTAGTGAAGAAAAAAGATCATCGTCTCTATCGAGGAATGAGGTCCAAAAATGCCCTGCCATTGTTCATTGTCGTCTGTGAAAAAATCCAACGATGAGGCGCTTGCCTGCTCCGCTGGCTTGCATTGCTCAGGCACAACAAATGAAATCCCGTTGTTGGCACCGTTGACATCGACAGCGGTTGATGTGACCTGGTAGCTTTCCAACAGTCCACGCCAAAGTGTGAAAAGTGTTCTGCCGACCCGACTACTCCCGCTGCTGCAAGGTAGTGGGCGAGGCACAGGCGAAAAGAAAACACCATCACGGCTCGGTGCCTCACAGAGCCTTGCATATTTCCTCGCGCATTTCTCAAATGTCCCCCGCAGAGCCTTCGGCATTATTATTTTATTTTATTTTTATTCCGGCCTCGCCCCAACTGCAACGCCCAAATCATAAAGAAAAGACAACACAAGAAAACAAAAAGCAAAGAAGATATACAGACGCGCAGTGCTCAGAGAGGAGGCAAAAATACTTCTTTCTCTCCCACAGCATGAGCAATTAAGAACAGCGAGTGGCACGTGAAGAAGCTGCAAACACATATTTTTTGTTTAATTTCTTTTTTTTTTCTTTTTTCTTCGTCCTTCGCCCCTCCTTCCTGCCTCTTTGCACTTGTTGTTTTACATGGTTACTTCCTCTTTTTGGACTTCGTCGCAGCAGCGCCACCGCCCGCCACAGGAAGACTGAGGCCCAGCTTCTTCTCCAACTCCTTCCGCTGAAGCGCAAGGGCGGCTACTCTGTTGGCCTCATATTGACATTCCTTCGCCTCGTTTCCCCTATCCGCTTCTGCAATGCTGAGATCTAACAGGAGAGGTTTCAGGCGTATTGCCTCGGCTTCCTCCAGTTGTTTTAGCTGTCGTCGCATACGCTCAATCTCATGCTGCATACGGTCCGCCCGTTCCTTCTCCTGGCCAATGCGAGCCTCCATGCTCGTCTTGCGCCCTGAGAGCTCCGACATCTCGTTGCTCACTCGCTCTTCTGTGCGTCGCAGGACTTCTTCCGCGGAACTGAGCCGGGCGCGTACAACAGTCAGGCTCTTTTCAAGGTCCACGATTTCGCGCCGCGCCTTCTCGGTCATGACACGAGCCTCTTCACTGCGTCGCAGTAACTGTTCGCTGCGATCTTTAATGATGCGTCGTTCCATTTCTATTTCGTCTTCAGCTTGCGAAAGTTCTCGACTTTTAAAGGAAAGACCCTCAATCTCCGCCTTGAGCTTCGGGACAACGAGGTTCTTGTTCCTCTCCACATTTCGCGCCAGTGTCGCGCGTTGGCCCATGAGGGAATGATAGCGGAAATCATTGTAGGTAACGTCCATCTTCTCTAAAGTGTTGTTGCTTCTTAAATAATCGTCCAAAAGTTCGCCTGTGGTGTTTGACATACAATTGCGTCGCAAATTCAACTCTAGAAGGGTTCGATTACTGGCCAAACATAGCGCAATCGCCTTCCCCCCGTCATCAGTTATCTTATTGCAAGCAAGGTTGAGTGAGAGAAGACCCTCGTTTGTCTTCATGGCTTCCAAGATGCACTTTGATCCAGCATCCTTCAGTTTATTATTTGACAGATCCAAGTGCTGCAGTGTGTTGTTCGCTGTAAGGGCAGCTCCAATGGCGGCCCCATCTGTCTCACGAATTCCACAAAAGGAGAGAGTGATTAAAAGCAGGCATTTGTTTTCCGCCAGGCCCTCCATGATATGTTTAGAGGATTCCCCGAAGTTGTTGGAGGAGAGCCGCAGCTTCTTTAGAGTGGTGGAAGATGCCAAAACTCGTTGTATTGCCTTGGCCGTCTTCTCCCCGAGATCATTCGTCTCCAGGTTAAGAAACTCGATCCGTTCCTCACCGTTTTCAATAGCTGCTGCAATCGCTTCAAAGAGAACCATCCCACCATTGTCTCCCATGGCGTTACGCTGTAAGGAGAGGTGGGTGATGCAGGTGGTTTCCAGAACAGGCGCCAGTGTCTCAATCCCTGCGTACCCCAAATTATTAACAGAAACGTTCAAGTGTTTGAGGCTGTAATTTCCATTGAGACCTGCAGCAATGAACGAGACACCGGAGACCCCCAAGCCATTACAGCTAAGATTGAGGTGTGAGAGCACCTTGTTCGCACGAAGCATGGCCCCAATTGCCTCAGCACCTGCTGTGGCGATATGATTTCCATTAATACCCGAATGCGCGCCCAGGTCGAGTGAGACAACGGTATTGTTTTCAAGCAGTGCTTGCGCCAAAGCCACCCCTCCGATGTGACCAATATAATTGGATCGAAGACCCACGTGAACAAGGCTCCTGTTGACTTTGATAAGGCTAGCAATGGAGCAGGCGCCTTCATCCTGTAACCGGTTTCCACTTAAATCAAGAATGGTGTACTTTCTGTTACGTGACAAAATGTGTGCAATGGCTCCGGCGCACATCGGCCCAAACCCACATTCTTTCAAGCAAAAAAACTTCCCTCTGCAGTTGGCACTAATAAGCTCCATAAAGCGCATCTCACGTTCCCATGAAGGCACCAGTTCCTGGTCCACACACTTTGCCTCGTACAAGATTTGAAGATCCTTCACAGAAAAGTCAACTTCATTCTGAATGCATGACTGAATCGCCCCCCGCTGCACAAGTTCTCTAAACGAGATGAAGTTTGCAACGTAAGGGAGACCCGTTGGCAGAGCACGCGGCAGGCACGTAGATGCTGTAGTTTGATCCTGCAGAAATCCCCGTCGACCTTTTGTCTTGTAGTTGTACAAGTAACTACGTGCCACGTCTCTGCATTCGATACGCTCCAGGTTGGAGCTGAACTTTGCCGATTCTATGAGCGGCAAATCTTGCTGACTGGCCTCCACGGAGATCGTTGGCTCACTCATCTTTTACGCCCTTTTCCTGCTGGTATTGTTGCCTCCTTTTCTCCTTCCTCGCCGTTGTGTTGCGCAGTAAAACAATAAGGGAGGGCGCACCTCCAACGCTGCAACGCCAAAGAAAGAAAAGTAAAAAAAAAAGGATGAAACGCCCACACACCCAAAGGCATACAGACAAGAAAAAAAAAAAAACTGCAAGACCAAAGAAAAATGGGGTGGTACAGCAACAAACCTGCAATTTGAACATCAAAAAAAAAAAAAATAACACACAAACCTGGCAAGCCTGTCAGTTGCGTCTGTCATTCAATATTCACCTAAAATAACATGCCACATTAAAATATGTATATGCTTTTCCTCCCTTTTCAACCCTTTCTATTGCGTGTATCGTGTTTGCTTCTGTATGTGCCCTCCGCCCTCCTGTTCGCAACCCTGTGGGATAAAAAATTCTTCACTCGCCTCACTCCACCCATCATCTTCAATTGCGCCGCAGTGATTATGGGTCTTTCAAAAGCTGTCCAAACCACATGTATAGACGCCGCACGTATGCCCACATCCACACGTGTGCAAGATACGTGGGCGGGGTGTGTTTGTTGTTGTCTTAACCCCCCCCCCCTTTTTTTTCTCTCTCTTAAATCACCTGAATTTTTCCCAGTGTTCTTGATTATTCTTCTTCCTCTCTCCCACCCTCATCTGCACATCCCTTTTCATGTCAACTTTTAAAGGGTCACCAAAAGTATGGAAAAATATAAAATATTTTTTTTAAAAAAAACAACTATGGTCTCATTGGTCAACGAACCAATTTGTGTTCCATTTCTCTGGAAAATCAAGCCCTCATCTGTTGTGTTACTTGCTTTGGTTACTCTCATACTTCCTCCTACGCCTCGCACAGTGTCAGCAGTAACGCATACTGGAAAGCACCATGTCATAAAATACGTCTGCCTTTATATCCTTGGCAACATAGGTGCAAGGGCCTGCTTGCGTGGAACGAAAGGTGCGACCCTCGCTCTTCGTTTTATCCGTCTCCACATCCAACACAATCGGCTCAAGTTTCGCCAAAGTCTGGTCAAGCACATAGGCGGCAGTCAGCACATCCCAGGCGTAGTAGCCATCACCTTCACGAAGAAGCTCATAGTGGGTGCATGTGGCCCAGGCAGAACCCACAAACTGCGAGAGGAGGTAGCCGTTTTGGTTACCGAAGCGCTGCACAAAAGACGAGTTTACAGGAACGTGATTTGTCGAATCAAGCGAAAAAAGAATATTGCGCATATGCGGGCACTCAAACACCACTTTTGCCGCTGGTGGGTCCCAATAAATGTTCCACTCTGCCGTGCCGTCAGTGGTGGATTCAAAAACGTTACCGCCAACATCCACGGCGCCGCCCATAATGACACACTCTTCCACCTTATCTGTAAACTGCTTCCCATACTTCTCGATGCACCACGCTACATTGGAAAGCGGTCCAGTCACGCATATGGTTACCTTATCCTCCGAATTCATCACCAAATCCGCAAGCAGCTGCTCACCCACCAATTTCTCGTTCTCAACCTTCAGCTTGTCCCACAGCGCAACGTGCTCAGGGAGGTTCAGGCAGGGAAAGTCGTTCATGTTCTTCGCATGACAGCGCCACAACTTCGGAAAAGGATTCACACCATGAAAGGATGAAATGCCAATGGGAAAGAGTGATACATTTGTGCGACTGTGAACAAGGCTCATAATTTTCCCTGCGACGTTAAATGCATCACTGACAAAACAATCCGCATCGGTGCAGATGCACCCAATGAGACGCACCTTATCTGGGTGCGCAAGAAGAAGTGATAAGGCAACCAGGTCATCATGGCCACCGTCTTGGTCCAAGATAACTGACCTTGGCATCGTCCGCACGGGCACACAATACACACAAGTTTTATCTTCCCTTGGAGCTTCTGTTGCTCTCTGTCACACGTTTTCTATTGCGGTCTTGGAAATAGCAAAGGTAGCACCCATACAAAAAGAAGAAAAAAAAAAAGTAAAGTCATATTCGTCCTCCACAACACCTAAAGAAAACCTCACAAGATACACAAAATAATAACAGCAATGGCAAATAACTGGCAATAACGCTAGACGCCTTTTCCCCAGAAATGAGCTCTTGTTGTAAGGCGGGAAAGAGTCAAAAATGTCAGTAGGTCCAATGCTGCCATGTCATTCCGACGGCACGGAGCGATACGGAAGAAATTCCGTCTCCGTCTCCGTCTCCGTCTCCTGTGGAACAAACTCCGCCAACAGATTATATGTCCGCTGTGGTGTAAGCTCGTGCCGAAACTCCGAGACGTCCTCTGCCCACAGGTGGTACCGACCAACTTCATACCACATGAGCGTGCCAAATAACAACAAAAGTCACCTGTTGGTTTTAACGCTCCCTGCGTGCACAACTAAACGACAGCCGCACCCCAGCACTCCCATCCCCGCAGCAAAGAACCCATTCTGGTGTCCCACCAGGCCGTTGTTCACTTTGTGCGCCTTCACGGCATTGTAATACATACCACACATAAAGAATAAAGCCAATCACCACCGTTCCATGTTTCTTGCCTTCATGGTCAGGCATCCTACAAAACAGCCAAGCAAACAGGCACAGGCCACACGAAATCTGCTATGTGGCTGTCTGTAGCCCTGCCAGCTGTTCAAGCAGAGCTGAGTACATCAGCGGTTCATAAGTTCCACAGAAGTGGTAGCCACGACGAGCAACAACGCCATGTTCCGCATCAACGTACAAAAGACGGCGAAGGGACTGGGAACCAGTCATGGCCGTCTACACGCTGAAAGTCATTTTGTCATATATATATATATTAAAAAAAAAGCGAGTGCACAGCAAAGGAAATAACAACACAAAACAGGAAGAAAACTGTTGTTAGACAAGGCGTAATAAGACGCACAAGAATAAAGACGTTATCCCCAGCTTCAGTTTTGCACAAGGCACTGTGTTTTAGTGCACTTCCCCAGAAGGTGAAACCCACACTCAGCAAGCACGAACAAAGTGCGTTTGACAGGTATTTTTGCTTATGCGACGAAAAGCCTCCAGATTTATTCGTTGGTTTTTTTTTTTATGCATCAATGTTGTAATTTCCGTTGTTTGTATTTTCCTCTCTTTTGGCGCTCCCACCGTTTACTGCGGCATGTCGATCGCATACGGCCACGCGGGGGGAGGAGAAGAGGAAAGAAAGAAAGAAAAAAAAAGATAGAAACACATGCACATACTTTTCCCACTGAAAGCAGCACCCAGCTAGTAGCTTCGTTCTCCATAGGGGTGAACAGGGAAAACGTACAAAAGAAAAAAAAACGCAGAAATGTATTAGGTCCCGCAATCACACAGCGAAAGCGTTAATCCCGGCCTTCTAGTGTGCCACAGTCATTACCCCCACGCATTACGGTTATGAATCGTGCTTTTTGTTTTTGTGTCCATTTTTTTTTTCTTCTTCTTCTCTACGTGTAAGTAATTTTGCTGTGTTGTTGTTGCTGTCTGTCATCTCCACTTTTCTTTTCGTTCTTGCTCGTTTAATGAAGAGGCCGCAGAACCTTAACCTCACGCGTTACACCATTTGCAAATATCTGTGTATGCATCTCTCCACAACTAATCAGGACCATGTGTAGGCCATCAATGTCGCTCCAGGGCCCTTTTGGTCATCTCGTACGTGATCATCGTCAGTGCGCCTGAGGGGGCAGTGTGCATGATTCTCGCAGAGACGCCGGCAAGGAACCCACGCACACCTCGGGTTCGAATAATATTTTGAAACGCCGACAAAACGCGGGATTCTTTCCCCAGCTGCAGGTGGGTCTTCGTCACATCCAACGGGGAAGAAACTATTGACGCCGTGGTGCCGGCTAGCAGGGCAGCAGCCACGTACTCCACTGCGAGCTCATTCTCCTTGTCGCGGCGCCCGCCGCCTAGGAAGGACAGGAAGCCCTCGTATACCGTCCAGTAGGTTGCAAAGTGTGGCACGTTCATCAATATTGTTGTGGGCAATGAAACGAAAAAAACGCGGGTTCCATCCTCCGCAAGAACGTGCCGCGCGCACCGCAGCGAAGACCCAAATCGCCTCGCCCTGTCCATCTGCATCCGCTGCTTCACCACATCAAAAGGAGTGGCAATAGTGTCGTGAGCCGCCACCGCGCAACTCGAGGCAAGCATAATAGATGTGTTTGATTCGTCTCCAAAAATTCGTTTCGCCGACTCGTATGTGCCAAAGTATACCCCGTGCGACGGGACAGCCGAGACAAGGATGGGGAGCAATCCACGGTAAAGATGCGCCAGAGGCTCGCTACGCCACACGTGACGAAGGACAGACGCAATGCTATGCGAGCTCCCGCTCTGTATTCTGGTTTTGATCGTGTCGAACGGAAACATGGCGGCGTGCTCCACAAAACCAGCGACGCCCCCGGCGATCATCTCTTCGGGAAGGAGGGAGAAGGGACCTCCTACACTCTTGACGGCATCATACACGAGAGACGTGTTGGCCGACGACATCCCATTCACCTGCCTGGACAAAAACCAAGATACAACGCCCACACACAACGCAAATGATGCGTGTGAGACTGTTTGTGCAAAATGGAACAAAAATACGGTCATGTGAAAAATAGCAGCAGCAATAAGAAAAAAAAATGAATATTAGATGAAGAAAAGGTAACGTCAAAAGAGAGAACTTTGCAGTGTATAGATCGCATATTTGCTCATCCATCATCATCCACTCCAACTTGAGAATACGTCCTTTTGTCTTTCTGTCTCCTTGCATTTCTGTTGTTATCTGATTGTGTAAAAAAAAAAAAAAAAATAGGCGAACACACACACACACACACACACCAGAATGTGATTATTCTTCCTCTTTCTTCTCCTTCATCGTCAGACAGCACGGCAGCTGACACCCATTTCAGCAAGTATGGACACAATTTTGCGTGCCGGAATAAATCCAGACACTCGAGAGCCATCGCGAGTATTAGATGTGAGATGCATGCCCACAACGTGATCCCCAAAGTGGTCTATCACAGGGGCCCCACTGGAGCCGCTGGTACTGACAGTTCCGCGTGCGACACAGTTGAGCAGCGTGCTTTCAATCACTACTCCTGGCGACACGATCGTCTCATGCGGCCATTTTGTCGAGAGCCACACCGTGGCAACACGTGCCTGCAGTGGAGGGAGAAAACCACGCAAAGGGATATGGTCCATGTCTGTGTCGACCCATAGGACAAGGATGTCATTGGCCCCATTCTTCAACGCATGTTCGACGTGGGTTTCTGGCATATCTGGGTGTCGCACTGCAAAATCGCCCACGTCGTCCTTCACAGCGTTGAAGTGGTGGCCCGCTGTCACCAAAACACGAGGCAACACCGCGACGCATGTTCCAAGGAAACCCCCACGCCAGTATAGTGCGTGCATGGCCTTTAGGACCTCCGAGGATGGGTCCAGTGTCGATGGGGCGTCGAAGAGGCCATGTCTAATCATTTGCCTCAGCAGCCTCCTTAATCAAACAACAAAAATAATAATAGTAATAATAATAATTATTATTTAAAATAAAATAAAAAACAGCACAATAATAGCAATAATAAGGGCATCTCACCACCACCACCAGCAAAAACAAAAATAAAAATAAAAAACCTATATCCATAAAAGGAGTACATAGCACGTCAAACACACATCTTCGGACGTACATATATATATATATAACCTACATAAATGTATCTCAATTCTACCTTTGCCATATACACATTCCCTCTTTGTAGTTATATATATATATTCCTGAAAAAACAGTTACACTCCTAAATACAAGTTGTGTGTGAGATAAAATAAAAATAAAAACAAGGGAAGACACTCTGTGCTATGGCAATGGATTGTAATTATCCCTCCTTCGGTTGTGATGGGAATATAATGAGAAATATTGAAAAATGTTTCGTGAGTGTTCTCAGTCTCCCCACCCTACCTCACCATTATTCCCTGTCTTCCTCCTTGCGTTATTATTGTTTTTCTCTCCCCCTTTTCTTAGCATCTCCGTAAATCAGTAATACGTATACACTTTTATTTTGTCTACATGTTTGTCTGTTGTTGTTTTTTTTTTGTTTTTATTGTTGATGCTGCTGTTTTCGTCCTTGTTTGGCCACAGCCCCCTGGTTTTCGTACAACTCTCTACTTGCGCCTAACTTTGCTCTCCTTGAGCCAATCCTTTATCACCTTCAGAATGCTTTCAAACTGCTGAGCAATCTGTGGCTCGCTGGCGTGCTGCTGCACACTTGACTCCAGCATCTTCACAACATCAAAAAGCGAGTCCACTGGCTCCTGATTGGCAAACACCTGTTGAAAGACACCAATGCAAGCGCCCTTTTTGCCCTCAATGTACTCAGGGGCGTTGTCAAGACGTTCGAGAACGTCAAAGGCTTTGGCAGCGTAGTAAAAAGCGCAGACTTTGTAACAGTCGTTTGCCATGGGCTGCAAAATGTTAAAGGACTCTGCACTTGTCTCCATTTTTAGGTAAATATCCCAGGCTCGCTTTGCGTGCTTATTCATGATGTGAGAGCGCATTAGCCAGCTGGTGTAGCTAAACTCCGCCTTCACCTTTTCGGAGCGAACCGCAGTGAGAGACTCCTCCGCCTCGGCAAAGTTACCGGTGCCGGCACAAGCAATACCGTACAGATATAAGAATGTGTCGTCGTTCAAAAAGTAGGGTTTGATCGAGCGCAGATAGAGGAGTACGTTGGGAAAGTCACGGTGTAAAAAGAAGTATGACGCCATGCACTGTCGCCCAGGGATGGTGTCACACTCAGACTGAGCCGTGCCTATAAGGTTGAAATACTCCCGGGTGAGCTTCAGGTGTTCCTCAGACTCAAGTTTTTGACCAATTAGAGCGTTAACAACACCCTTCAAAATGTACTCGGGTGAAGAAACAGGCTCAAGGTCTTTGATCAGCTCGTACGCCTCTTCAAATTGATCGTGACGCAGTTGATAAATAACAAGATTCAGCCTTGCCTCGGGCACAACGTTAAGCAGCGGCAGCAATGCCTGAAGTGCGTCATCACCATTGCGAAATACCACCAAGTTGTGTTTTACTATATCGTTTTCTACATTGTAGGTAGACCGCTGCAAGTCAATAAGTACCCGTAGCTCCCCCTCTGCAGCCTTACCATTGTAGAGACGGTAGTGGTTGCACGCTTTCAAGTTGATGGCCGTCGCACTGTTGCTGTGTGTTTGCAAGTACACATTTAACACCTCGAGACTAACATCATAGTAGTCCATCTTATAGTAGCACATTGCAACATACACGTTCAGGGCCACGTACTCTCGAGTTTCAAGCAAAATTCGTTTGTAAACATCAATAGCTTCTTGAAAATGACCACGATAGTAATGTACTGCGGCTAGTGAAAGTTGATCCTCCACCGTGTCCTTCAACTTTTGATGGTAAATAAGCAACTTGTCCTCATCATATAATTTTTGTGCAATATGAAACATCAGACGTGTTTGCAGAGAGCAATTGGGTCCCTTTAACGCGCACTCCTCCGCCTCCTTGTAGGATCCATTAACAAAGTGGCAGCATCCCATATGGATATGGTGCATGGGGTCACAATTCTCAAGAGATAATAACTCCTTGTAGACATCAAGAGCCTTTCCTACGTCGTTCATGTGGAACGCACTATACGCCAGCCAGGGATTGATGGATAGATCACCAACAGGCTGATTTGTTGTCTTGTAAAACTCTAACATTGTGGTGGCCTTGGAGAAATCCCGCGCCTGTAAAGCCTCCTCAAGCTGGTCCACCACTGACGCCTTTGTTTGATTGGTCTTTTGTGTCGGCGTCGCATTTTTCCGCTTCACTCGGCCACTGGTCAGCAACATGACGTCTTTTGTATCTGCACTATTATGCCGCTTCCCTCGCTCGCAGATATAGAATTGTATGAGTATGTATTTTCTTTGACTGATCTTGTGGTGTCACCAGCGCCCACTTCTTCTGATAATCCCCCCTTTGATCTGCATGCGTATGTGGAAAAAACAGTAACAACAGAGAGAAGCGATGTGCAACAACAAATTCCCCAAAGTCAAACAGCTGCTTGAATGACGGAGTCAGCGTCCTCCCATCTCTCTCTCTCTCTCTCACACACACACATACATACATGCACGGGCGCTGACTCCTCACAGCTCTCTCAATGCACCAAGTAACCACAACACACGGAAAGGGAAAAGAACAAGAATAATAAAGACGAAAGGCATTCATGTCATTTGCCTCGTTTGGAAAGAGCATCCTTCACACGGTCTGTCGCGTAGCCTTGCATCGTGTCAGCGGAAATGCACAGCGTAAAGGGAATGAGTGCAAGGCCACAGTAGCGACCAATCAATTCGTGATCGGCAAGGCAACGCATTGCCATTCGAGAGCGCGTGAGTTCATACCGCGCAATAGGGCGGTGCTTTAACACCCCAAGTAGCCGCATCCTGTACTCTCAGAGACGGGAAGACGACATGCACCCAAACCTAATGTATGGAGGTAAATACGTTGCTCCCTATATGCGCATGTGCTTGCGTTTGGAGAGAAAGACTCATCCACCACGTGAAGAAGGGAGGAGAAAGGAGGAAGAGATGCAAAGAACAATACAATTAAAGCATCAATAATAATAATAGTCACCGCGGCACGTTGTACTTACAATAAAAAAGATCGGTTTAAGAGAGAAAAAGGGAAGCAACTGTCCAACAAAGCAGATCCAACAACTTTTCTCCTGCTTGCTTCCATACGTATCTGAATTCACCTCCCATCGACAGCCTTAAGGTGAATGCAACGGTGCGGCCCCTCCTCCGCGTACTCCGCTGCATGGACACACATGCCCTTAAAGCTACTCAGTTGTGAAACAATAACACCACCTGAGAGTGCTGCATGCATTGGCGCTTTGACCTGCAACCGACGCGGAGTAACGTGCGACGGTGACACGGCATGACTCAGTGCGCCACGAAACACCTCTCGTACCCCCCTCACAACCGAGGCACCGCCAACAAGCACCCACTGATTTAGGGAAGAGAACTCTATCAAACTCTTTTGGTATGCGTGGTGCACAGCAAAAGGAGCACTAATATGGGGTGTGTGAAACAGCAAGGCCTCCCCGGCCTCCTTGCACACAGCATAACTAAGCGGGAACGGCAGACTGTTGCCATCAGGAAGTGTCAGACGCGAAGGTAGCGCGACAGCCTCCTCACCCACCCAACACGCGGATGACTTCAACGCCCAAAGAAGCGGCTCCTCCGCTTCTGGAAGATAACGACTCAAGACACAGTCTGTGGCTCGAGCACCTACCGACTGCACAGCAGCACAGAGAGAGGTTTGAACAATGCCATGCACAACAGGCACAAAACGCACCCCACAGTACCCAACGTCGATGCTCATCCCAGTTGTTTCCCCTGCAGAAAAAAGAGCTGTTGCCGCCGCGTAACCTAGAAAAACACGCTTGGCATCTAAATACTCAAAACAACACTTTAAAATAAGTTCCCGCTTCCGCTGCGGAAGCAGCACATCCGTAAGCAGCGAAAGCGTTAAGCCAGAGTCTTCGGGACAGGAGTTTGAGAGCAATTCTGCAAGGTGTCGTCCAAGGAGCACAATGTCCAGAGCATCTTCCACATACGCCACGCTAGGCGTCTCGCTCACACCAACGTCAACCCCCAGTGTCTTGTCGAATTTAGAAAAACATGCATGTTTCACAGTGTGCGAGCCGTAATCCGCAACAAATGTAATGTCCATGAGCAACGGCCTCTCTATTTCCAGGGTCAAGCTCATACACAGAGAGACAAAAAAAAGCACACGAAAAATAGAAAAGAAAAAGTTCGGATGAGAAGGAGAAAATATGAAGAGACATAAAACTGCAAGAAATTAAAAAGGTTTATCACCTATTATTGTTATTACTTACTCATATCATTTAAGCTCACGTCTCTCAGAAATTAAAAAGGTGGGCCATATGCAAAACTCAACTCTCATCAACACAACTAACGTACACGTCCCCAAACCCTTTTTTTTATTTATTTTCTTCTTTTTCGTTTTGCCTTTCATCGTTGAATATCAAAAACAATAATAACAATAATGTTATTTCTCATTGTTTCTACATTTAAAAATAAATCCAACATATGTAAAAAGTTCCACAAGAAGCCGCAGCAAAACAAAAACATAAAACGAGGAATGATTCGTGTTCAAACCAAGCGTTAACCCCCAGAAGAAAATTATCAATGTGGGGTGGTTTGTCTAATCCCGTCAACTATGTAAGCTAGCCGTATCAAATATTGAGAAAGCTCAGGCGTTTTTGCATCCTGTAAATATGTTCTGTCCACCGTATTTATGGCTTCCTGCATGAGTGCCCTGTATTGTTGTATAACTATTGTATCATCGCTGAAGTTGGGTGCCACCGGTGCCAGTGAAAGGGAACCGGTCGTCTGAACCTCAGGTGCGACAAAAGAAACCTGCGGCGTTGTTACCTTAGGTAAATCTGTCGTGGCCTCTGCGACACTATACGCTCCCGCCTCATTTAAGCTACTCACCTGAAGCGGCGTGGAGCTTTTTGAAGCAACCTCCTCACCAGGAAAATTATATGTGCTATTCCAATCCACCTTTGACGTACGCCACGACAGTTTGTCACGTGCGACAGTGTGGTTCCTCCTAACATAGTCCGGGTAGTCTCTGGTGCTGCTCTCCAGCTTGGTCAATACCTTCGGGACAAGGCGAGTCGTGGTGAGGTTGATGATGCTGTGTGGTATAGAGCCACGGGGATCGCTTTGGGTGATATACGTCAAGACGCATCCATCACTTCCTAGCGGCTGAATTAGGTACCCAGTTAGAATAGATCGTGCACGAACAAACGACGCCTTTTTGGGGCACCCACTGTGTGTGACAGAGTGGTTAAATATGATAAACTCGCCGTTGGTGAACTCCATCCACGAGCGCATATTGCAGAAGTCACGATTTTTCAGTGGCCATGGAAACTTGGCGGAGTAGTATCCAATATCGTTATTCACATTCAGCCTAATAATGTTGCGCCCTTCAATCATGTTATCGTCCCACACCTCACGGTAGGCGGCGTCGTGCAAATTATCGTACAAGTCGACACCCGGAATATTCCGCATCTCGCGTCGAACACGAACAATGTGAAGTCCAACAGAGGCATCCTCCGAGGGTCTTGACTGCACTTTGGTGGTCGAATCGGAGTAGTGCGTGGTCCATGAGTCTTCTGAAAGCGCAAACCTCTTGAAGTCGCGGAAGTCCGAGAGCGTTTGTAGTTTATACGTTTGGCCAGCTGATTCAACCAGCACCTCGTTATTAGGCTGCATTGGAGGTGTATCGACAGGAGGAGGGGCAAAGCAAGAAAAAGCAAACAAAGAAAAAGAAGAAATATATATATATATATATATCTAATTTTGGCTACCCACCTAACATTACGTCAAAGGTCCAATCCCCACATATCCCAGACGAAGAAGAAAAAGAAGAAAATAAGTCGCACAACCAACAACAAAAAACAAACAAAAAAAGTGGGTGACTTCGTCAGGTTCATGTTGTGTAGCCCCACTAGAGTCTAAGTGAGAAAAACAAAAGAGAAACATATGTTTGCCGGACAAACCTCAGTGAAAGGCCTCTTACCTGTCATTGCATCCACAGCATTGAAGTACTCAACACAGGTATGCCCGCACAACGCAAGAAAAAAAAAACACAAGTAAAGAGTGAAGGAGAGAAAGAACAATACACCCATGTCGATTTTTTTTATTTTTATTTTTGCTGCTTTCTTGGTGGCTGGCGCGTGTGCTCAGAACTTGTCGTCACAATATATATTCGGGTCTCACATTTCATTTCATTCTTTTTTTTTCTTTTGCCGGTGAAGAAAGCAAACAGCAAGAAGCTCCACCAATAAGAATAAATAGCCGTTACCACTCGTTGTCGTTGTTGCTTGTGTCCTCAAATTGTTTTTCAAGCTCCGCGACAGACGCACGAAGATCGTCAATTGCCGACTTTCGCAAGACAAACTCCTCAGTGACTTGTAAGGTGGGATCCACCGTCAACAACGCCACCGTAAAGGTATCCGGGCGTTCTTTTGGGTCGGGGCGCGTCATCCATTGCACTAACTGTTGCAGTTCAGGACTGTACGTACCAAAGCTTCCCGTATAATTGCCACTGCGAACAAGCGATGGGTCACCGCCCATAAGCTCCACACAGCTGGCTCCTAATGCATACACATCAGTCTCTCCCTTTTGCTGTGCAAATTTAGGGAGTGTGAAGGCGTCTGGAGCAAGGTAGCGCGAATCGCCGTCGTCATCATTTGTTCCACAGAACTCTTCACCAATGTCAGGGTGATCCATAAAGAGAGGACGTGCAAGTCCGAGGTCCGCGAGTTTGAAGACGTACGTGCCATCCTCCATTTTTTGAGCCAAAATGTTATCTGGCTTCACGTCTCTATGCGTAATATGATGACGCCAGAGCCAGTGTAGTGCAGAAGCTATTTGGTGTATAACGGAACGCAGCAGCGCCTCTGGCAACGGCCTCTCAAACTCGGCCACGGACCCGTCCGGGAGCCACTCTGTACGAACAAAAACGGCCCTATCTTCAACCCAGGCATCAAAGTAACGCAAGACGTTGGGGTGACTACATGCGCTTAAGGCATAAGTCTCCTGTAGTTGGTGTTGGAGGTCGCTTTCACCGCATATCGCTCGTTTCGTCTGCTTGACCGCATAGCACTGGCAGTCAAGGTCAAATATGCCTCTTTTCACCACGCCAAATGAACCTGACGCGGTATCTTCCACTAAACTCATCTCGTTATTTATTCGACTCATAAGATGCATTGCACCCAAGCTGGTGTTCAATGAATATGTCTGCATGCCAGCGCTGTCAGAGAAACACCCAGCTTGGCTGTCCTCTCTTTCCGCGGTATCCATCGTCGCATGACTCATCCCCTCCCCCCCCCCTCCCCTCCCCCCTTCTCTCCCGTTCCCCTTAATGCTCAGCAAACAAACAAAAAAGCCAAGATAGAAAGAGAAAGATAAAAAAAAAAACACATGTGGGCAAATGTGCAGGCATATATATATATATATATAATAAACCATCAGTGAAGTTGATGGTAAAAAATGTGGAGGCGGAAAAGTGAACGTATGAAGGCCGCACCTCAATGAATACATCAGCACTCCAGCAGCAACCCCGCCGGTAAGTGGGAAAGGCAAGAGGATGGGAAGAAGAAGAAGAAAACTAATCCTCCCGCCCACCAGACGCGGAGATCCGCCAAGACCAAAATCACAAAACCAAAGGCACGTTTCGCTTCTTTTCATCCTTGAAAACTACAAAAAAAAATTATAGCGGAATAAATAAATACATGCATGCATATATCTTCTTGTTTGTCAAAGTCTTGTGGTGATCATGGCAACGCGCCTCTCTTTATCTTCCTCACACCCTTTCCCCTCCTAATCCAACAAACAACAGGAACACGGCAGAACACCCCAAGTAGTGGAGTTTTTTTTTTTATTTCTGTTCCCTTTTGCCGCCTACATTTTATTTACATGTGACGTACAAAGGCATCCACACACAGAGACAAAAAAAAAAGAAATAACCATCCATTATGCAGGATATCGTCTAGGCCACGCCAGGCATGATGTCCACGTCAAGCTTACCACTAATTTGGTTAGAGCCTAGCTTGGCATCACAGCCACAAAGTACATGCATTGAACCATCAAAGGCGTTCTCCGTCCAGATTCCCTTGCCCCCTTGAGAAACAAAGGCGCAGTGCATTCCACATTCCCGAACCAAATTTCCTTGAACCACCGGATCACTTCCCTCAGTTACATAAATACCAAACTTCCGCACATGCTCTACAGAGTTTTTCTCCATCGCACCTGTCGATTGCCCACGAAAGTACATGCCAAATAGGACATCACGAATACGGTTGTTGCTGGCAGTAACAGTGGCATTACAGGCGTGAATGCCATTAACGCGGCACTCGTAAATGTCGCAGTCGATCACCTCGCCTGAGGATCCAGGTGAAAAATATATCCCGTCACCGCCAGATTCACAGTGATGCACACGGGAACGTCGAATCGTGAGTTTGGCGCCTTCCCCCACACGAACCCCATCAGGGCCATCATGAATGTCGCAGTCTTCAATCAGAGCATGACCTTTGCGAACATCTACCTTGCCGCGAATTCGTAGCCCTTTCATAGTGGCATTGGCAGCAATAACAACACCATTCGTAATTACAGCCTCACTTTCCGCCAGAGAATCATCTGATATCGCAGTGAGTGTAACATCCTTCAACACCTTCAATAATTCCTCGTACAGACCCGGCTTCACAGCAACGCTGTCACCAGCAGCTGCCGCATTCAAAGCATTGGTGATCGAGTTAAATGTCCCTTCACCTCCTGGGTTCACAGTATGTGTCACGGGCTCCATGGAGTCGGTAGCACTTCCCAATCCCTTACGCAGGAATGACGACAACAGCAAGAAAAAAAAAAAGTAAGTAAATGCAAGTAACCACACCAAGAAGCTTTTGCATGAATACGGTGACACTACTACAGAAGGGTCTCACCTATGTGTCTGCATGAATGCACACATGCAGTCACACACATCTGCGGCAAAAGTATGAGTAGGAGTAGTAAAATAAAGGTTTGTGGATATGTGAAAAAGCAACAGCATCAATGAAGTGTGTCAAAAAGATGAGCCTCCTCTGGTGAGAGCTGCGACATACACGAAGGAGGAATGGAGGTAGAGAAGTACATTGGCTCCGCATCAAAACCCGCGTGACGAATAGAAAGAACAAGCTCCGTGAGACATACAAACTCGTCCTTGTCGCCACTTCTGCAAGTACCATTCTCTTGCAATGAAATTCCCCAGCCCTCGCTCGCCAGGCTCTCCTTCAAGCGGTAAAAAGATCCCGCAAGAAGCCCATCTGGGTCAGAGTGACACGTAGCCTTGATGACAACGCCACCATCCGAAAACGGCCCAAACAACACACTCATTGCGTACGCCGCGTAGAACTTGGTAGATAAAAGAGGTAGCGACACTGAGTTCATTGGAATCACCCGGGCGAGCAGCGTTATTCGCAGATGCACAGCTTTCGTAGAAATTGTAGATGACAAAAGAAGAATCAGGCCGCAAGAAGACGGGTTCAAAAGATATGCAGAATAATGCATCAATCCCAGTTGAATCCGCTGAGCCACCAAACGGGCGTAGCTATGTGTATCTGCCCCAGTCGGTTTATATGCCACAACCACACCCACATCCTTCAAAACTGAGACAAGTGTATCGTTTCTGCTCAACGTTCCATGAGGTGGAATGACATTCAGCATGAAAGTACCTTGTAGAATCCTGCGGCTCTTCTTGGGAATACATGAGGCATGAACCTTGTAATGGCCCTCAACAAAGGCTTTCATATTACCCTTGTATCTGCGATAAAACATCTCTCGAGTGTTATTTGTCCAAGTAACAGTGATATATATCAACTCCGCAGCAGGGGCAGGAGACATTAGCAATCGGTGAATAACATACTCATCTGTGAAGGTCATCATCGCCGGGGGAGCACAGCCTCTCATCAAGAAGCATACCAACGCATCGTACTCAGCCACTATCGTGTTCTCTGTGTGTTTCTCCAGAGCCTTATGCAACTCATTTAAATAGCCATGCCCCTCCGCAATCAGAATGGTTAGCCGTAACAAAGACTTATGGCCCCAAACAGACTGAGGAAGACGTTCAAAAAAGTCACGCGACAAATCACCAAATTGGGAGCGTTGCGCTGAGCGAAGAACCGAGATCCACGCATCCAGCTCCACCTCTTTACGGCCCTGAACATATTCCAGTGCATGTCGCCAGTGTCCACCCTCGGCGTAGCCTTGAAGCATGTACCGCCAAGAATGAGCAGTCTTAGGATCTGAAGAATTAACCCGCGCAGGATCTCTAGCACAGAGTAACGTCGTCAAAAACTTTTCAGGGACATCCCCAAAGCTCTGCGCAACTGCCAAGGCCTCCTCCCAGGGTGCTGACACCGGCATACCACAAACAACAGAACAAAGCACTCCATGTGCTGCCTTCGGCATCACCGGGGCAAGTGATGTATAAAAGGCAAGGGCTTCCTTCCAACGTTTGGCGTCCCTCAAGGCATACAAAGTTTGCAAGCAGGCATCTTCAAGAAACAAATCATCAGCGTGCGTTCGTGGAGGGTCGCATGAAACAATCATATCAAGCACATCAGATGAGTGCCACCATTGTCCAGAGCGGCGTGCAGCCTGTCCCAACGCTGAAGCAGTCATCAGAGATGCACCTTCCCCTTCACTATAACCCTCCTTCAGTAGCTGAAAGAAAGTAGAGGTCTTACCAGCATCACTCAATAAACGCAGCACCGTCGGCAATGACTCATGCCACTTTATATCTCCTTGTGCGATAGAGTCCTTCATCGATTGCAATGCAGCTTGCCACACTAGTTGTGAATCCCCACAAAAAGTATCTCCATGTGCCTCTTGAAAGGCTAATGCTGCCGCAGCACTCTGGTGAAAAAGAACATGTCGAGCAGCAAAATAGGCATCTGGTCCTTCCATGCAACTCAGCACCTGAAGAACAGCACTGCGGCAACGCTGAGTTGAACCAATTCTCTTTAGTGAATCAAAGCTCAAGGCGGTCCCACAGAACCTGACCACCTCTGACAGAGCACGTGCATTTATGCTTGGCGTCAAAGAGATCATGTCCCCTAATCTTGTAGAGAGCTGAAATAATCGAAATCCATCGTGGGACAACTCACTTTGCTTGCACTCCGTGAACACAGCCAGCAACTTTTCCTTCTCACCCTTAGTCACACACTCCGTCCCAGTACGCAGGAGCATGGCGGGAGGCAATCGCCTCTTCACAGCATCCATACTCAAAGACTCCGTGGTAAAAAGGTAAGGACGCAGTTTTTCCGATGTTAAAGGAGTAAATGTGGAGGAGATACAATTTCGTTCTGAAGGATCTTCCGTGTGACTAAAGTACCAATCCGCCGCCCAAAGGAATACCTTATACTCCCGTGCAACCTCAGTCACTTTTCCTTCCCGTATCATACACCACGCTTTCTCCGTCAGCTCCTTCATCTTCCCAATCATAGGCCTCGAAACGCGTCTGCCCCCAAAAGAAGCAGCAAGCACGTAAATACTCATCAATCTAAAAACGTGTGACACATCATTCAAATTAATGGGATGTATTGATGCGGTCAACCAGCGTTTCTCCACCTGGTGAATCACACGATCGTATTTGCCGCTGTAGTATAGTACAGCTGCTACGAGAGCAGCGCTATAGTGATCACTACGATCTGCATGATTCCAAACACAAAGCGCAGACTCCCATCTCTGTTGGCAACATCGTGAGCGCCTGTCATGTGGCAGTGATGCCGATGCCTCCAGGGCTTCTAATGCCTTGCGCACCACTGAAGGATGAACGGTTTCATTCGGTTTTGCATACAGTTGGGCAGAGAATTCATTCAGCACAGAAATCCATCTTGGTGGTGTATCTACCGGCAAGGTATCACCACCCATAGAAAAAGAAAGAGGAGCCCCCATAGCTTTTGAATCGACTGCATCATCAACATCAGGGTTTCTCCCGTAGAGTTCAAAGAAGGCCTGCCTATCCACGACGCGTTGCCGCTGCACCTGCCAACAGCCAAGTAGGAGGTGGCTCTTGACAAGCCTCCTCATACCATCCGTTCTTGCTATATTGGGTAACAAACAATGCGGAAGGAGAAGGAAAATAACGGCCGGAGCAAAAGCAAACAACGACGTCAAAACAAAAAACAAAAAAAACAAAAAACAAAAAAACAAAACAAACAAACAAACACGATAACGACACCGGCACACACGACAATGCGGCACAGCGGCAATAAAGCGCCGTGCCGCAAGACGCACCCAATCACGGAACTCTCATTTGCTTGCATACATACCCATTACGATGGCCAAAACGCATTAACTCATCCTGTAGAAACAGGAACCTCTCTGTGGCCACGACCCCAAAAAGACCGCATGCTACTAGAGTACAAAATGAAAACAAAAACAAACAAACAAACAACAACAACAAAAAAAAACCCACTATTCTCAGCACAAAAAAAGGAAATTATCAGAAAGGGTAAAAAAGCCAACTTTCTTCTTTATTTCTTTCTTATAGTCTCGCCTCCGCGAGCTTAAAAAGAAGCATGAACAAACAAAACAAAAAGAAAAAACAGTGCATTAGCTATAATAATAATAATAATTTCCTCAGCAAGAATCAAAAAAGGAAGGAACTTCACAGCAACACAAACGTTTCTTCTTTTCCTTGCTTTATCGGTGCGCTTCTTCTTCCTGTCGTTGTTGTCTATTATTATTATTATTATATATATATATATATTTTTCCACCTTTCGTTGTATTTCCTTTTTTTTTTTGTTTAATTCTTTGGTTGATTTTTTTTTTCTTCTGCTTTTGTTTCATTTGGCATGTAAACATGTATAAATATTTTTTTTTTATTAATTCAATTACGCCACACCGCGAAGAATGTGTTCGAGAATAACCCCCTACACCCATACCTCTTCTTCCGAGGCAACGTCGTACTCATCCCGTCAAGTCTTTGTCATCAGTTGCGGCTGCAGGAGTCACACTTATGGCGCTCTCTGTCGACTGAAGCGTGGCCGGAGGCGACGCATTGCCCTCATGCTTCGTGCGCATATGGGAACGAAAGGCACTCTCTGAAGTAAAGTTTGTGTGGCCGCACAGCGTGCAGCCCGGCACCTTGAAACTATTCCCCTTTCCATCTCTTCTTCCTGCAGTTTCACCTTTGTCTGGGAGCTGCAACTTCGCTTGCCATAAGGCGTTGTTGTACACTGGCGGATCAAGGAATTTTTCTTGCGGCTGTGTGGCCAAATACTGGCTCGTTGGCCGCACACCGTAGTAGTAGAATGGTGATCCCTGTGGTAACTGGGTTCCTGGTAGTAGGCAAACAAATCCACTTTGATTATCAACATATTCTGGCTGTTGCTTTTGCTGTTGAAAGGTGCTTGCGGGCATGCCTCGAGCGGGAAGCGCTGAGGGAGGGCAGTACTGTTGTGGTTGTGGTTGTTGTTGTTGGAGGATTTGAGACATTTGAGGTAGCATTTGCCCCTCTACCGGGAGTTGTACAAAGTGAGGATGATAGTATGCGTTCTGTGGGGCAGAATACAGCTGCTGCGGAGGGACATTATGTTGATACGCTGCATGTTGAAAGTACGGCATCTGCATGTACACCATGTGTCCCCCCGGCTGAGCAAACAACATTGGCTGAGTCTGGACTTGTCCACGACCTTGGGGGGGCGGCATGCCAATCGCCTGATAGGGTGGCGCATTGACGTAATACGTGTTCCCCGCGGGTCCCATTTGCATCGTCGGCATCTGTTGCTGCTGTTGTTGCTGTTGCTGTTGTTGCTGCTGTTGCTGCTGTTGCTGTTGCTGTTGATGTTGATGTTGATGTTGATGTGGTACAGGAATGCTTGTGGCGGCGATGGAGGAACACTCCCTTACTCCCTCCAGATGTCCTACGACTCCGCCTTCAGCACGTGGCAAAGATGCGTCGCCTGGTATTGCAGCTGGCGCGGATGGAGTGCCCGCAGGAGCTGTCTCGCCCTCTTCCCAAATGCTTTCCCAGTCAATGCTTTGAAGGATCTGGGCGAGATCATTCTGCATACTTCTTGTTGATAGCGCTGTACCCGGGACACGATAGGAGAAAGACAATAGAAGGCACAGAGAGTGGCATGAAGGGCAACCAATCCATGGTGACAACGCATACCAAGTGTGCATGGTCAAAGGGCAAGCAACAAAGAAAGCACGTCGTAACCAAAAAATAAATAAATAAAAACAAAAACAAAAATAAAAATAAAACATGTTTTTAAATTCTCAAAGTAGTGCGGCATATACACGTAAAATATGGGAACCCAGCACAATCAAGAAAAAAAAAACGGAAAAGCAAAAAGATATCACAGCAACAACACAAGCGATATCATTCGTGCAGACACACAAAGAAAAGAAAAGAAAAGAAGTGCATAAGACATCAAAGCTGCAAAAGCAGAGAAGTTTCATCATTCGGCCAACAAAGTGATAGCCGCCGTCAATTGAAATATGGCGCTTTCCAATCGACTTAGTTGCATTGATGTAGGGCGTAGTCCTCTTCCCTCTTCCGCCTGCCGACGCCGTTGACGTGACAACTCAACTGCCTCGGCTATCGCTGCTTCACGTTCCGCGAGCGTCGCAGACAACGCCCGCTGCCGAACGTCAGTGCCGCTTATTGCTACACATTCAATGCGCATGGCTCTTACCATCAGGAGGAGTTCATCTACCTCGTTGTACTTCTTTGCGAGACGTTCCTCCGCCTCGTGCTGAGCTAACGACGGGCGCGCCATATTGATGTCTGCATCCCCCGTCGCTACAAGCAAAGACTCTCGATGCGGAAGGGCAACCGCAGGATTTTCTGTTTCTCGGACGCGCTTCTGCTCAGCATGCAACCTTTCAGCAATATCCGCAAGTTTTTCTGAAAAGGCGGCCAACTTTTTCTCGCGGATATCCATTGATCTCGCACTCATCATCAATGCTGCTTCGCGTTCACGAAGCTTGCGCTCACGAGCCTCAATCGTTTCACTCCAGCCACCCACTTGATCTCGCGTTCCGTCGCGACCCGCTGTCGCCTCAACCGTCTCGTTCCTCAGGGGATCGATATACACCTGCTGCGGTCCCCTCATTTCCTTTTCGGTCTGTAATTCATCCCCTGTTTTTGCCGGGTCAAACTTCCATCGCCCCTCTCCCTGCCCCTGTAAACAGCTTCGTTTAATCAACTCCTCCTCCTTTGTTCTCAACGCGGCAGACTTTCTCTTGAGGTTGATACCAGCTGTCTTCAACTCCTCCAAAAGGCGGTAGAACTCCCTTCCTTGACTGCGATGCTCCGCTAGCCCTGCCTCCAGGCGTTGCGACTTTTCCTCCTGCCCTCGGTAGTCAACTGGCGGAGGAAATGGCGTCTTCACGCCTGCCTTTGCGGCGTACACCTCTCGTAACTTTCGGAGGTTGTGCAGGGGCTCTTCAATGCTCGAAAACAGCTGGTGCAGCAAATCAAAGGTGGGGATAACGAAAAAATCAAGAAAAGCAATTTGCGAACTCTCCACCAAGGACGGTGTATCGAAGCCGGGAGTCACCGGAAGACCGCGACGGCGCTCGTCTTCCGCTTGATCAGCAAACTCCTGTAGCACCACCAACCATCTCCTTGCAATGGCCACACCACGTGAAGGTGCACCAATGTCGGCGGCATGCAGAATAAAAGACAGGGCATCCAAGCGGTCTTCTTTACGTGTGCAATCAAGCCTGCCAGCTCCCACCTTTGCCCCTAACTTTGAAATAATATCATGGTGCAGTCTCAGTTCCGTGTGTAGAATAAGATGTGTCACGATGTTCTTAAACTCGAGAAAAGATGCATTGTCCATGGAACTGGTAAAGTCAAATTCAGGCACGGTCAACAGTTCAAACGCCGTTGCAACATGAAGCTGTTCCAAGCTGCCGCTGCCACTATACTTGTAGCTCACTGGGTCTTGCACAGCAGCCAGAAACCCACTCGTGCGCCCTGGGTGGCGGACATCGTGCACCAGTGCAGCAAATGCAGCTGCCTTCAATTCTAAAGGTGTCATGTGCTCCATCAAAGGTGTAGCAGACGTCACGAGATAAAAAACGCCTTGAAGAGCATCCGCTGCGTGTATGGCATTATGATAAGCGTTGGGCCTATAGTTGTTTTCCACGGCTGCAACAAGCATTACCCACCTTTGAAATTCATCGTGGGATGAAAATAAATTCCATGCCAATGCAACATTCATCGCAACGCTCTGCAAGACAGATGGAACTCGTGAGGCCACCTCAAAGCTATCAAACTTCCAGTCTCGCAGATTAACATCCAAACCTGACGCCTCACAAGATTTTGGCGTAACAACTGTAAGTACTGTATCCTGCACAATGGATGGATGAAGTTTCCGCGTCCACAATGTATCCTTATGCACACTTCCTGGAGCCGTTTCAAGTCCTTTTTGGGACTGTTGAAGTCGGGCCACTTCGTCTTCATATCTACCGATGCGCTGTTGAAGCAGCTGCACGGTCGCCTCGCTGGACTTTGCACGGTCTAACGCTTTCTTTAACTCCGTCTCCATTGCCCCCATACGAAGCTGTGCACTGTCCAGTTGTTCACGTAACTCTTTGGCATTTTCCTCTGAGGTTTGTTGGACCTCGGTTTTGTTCCAAATACATTTTTCACCGGGCGCAATTGGTGCGATAGCCCGATCACGCTCCACACGGAGCGACTGGAGCTCGAGCTCTCGTTCCCTGAGGTGTCTGAGCAAAGAGTCACTCTTTGTTTGCAGGAATTCCGAATGTTTCGGGTCACCCACGTACTGTTGAAACACGGATAAGGAAGCGCATTCGCCATCAACGGCCAAAGCGTCTTGTGTCCTTTCATCGCCTGATGCTCTTGCATGAGCCGCCGCACTTCGCTCGCGTCCGTTAGCGGGGGTCAGAGACCGGGGCGGGGATACAGATGCGGCATAAAATTCAGGCGATGGTGAGCTTTCCACGGGCCCCGTGTGTCGGTTGCTCTGAAGCATGGAAAAGCAATCTATACATACCTTCGACGACGCACTACCGGCCACAATGGCACACTCGGCCTGAACGCAGTCAGAGCAGCAGAGTTTCTCGCAACATGGACAGTTTGACTTGGCGGTGGGAGGAGAAAATTTATTTCCACACGTCGCACAGCTGTCGCTTCTCCCATCCGAGCGACCCTTTTGCACGGGAAGCCCAGGGATCTCTGACATGCACATCAACAGAAAACGCACTCCAAACTTATCCTAGCACCCCCACCACTACCTACTCCCAGGCCAAGAGCCAGACAGCGCGCGTGCACACTCACATACACGAAACGACAACAAGAAAAAAAGAGGTAGCACCAAACAGTAGAGCATAAAACAAAACAAAAACCGAGCATTACAATCATGGTGTCTGTAACGAGGTCTGTCTGTGTCACGTAGGCTGAGGATGGAGCCATCCCCCATCCCCCATTCCCGCCAAGAGGAAGCTAAGGAAAGCAAAGTGGGGGAAAAAAATAATATACGAACTATACTCCTGTCATGCTTCAATTTTATCATCCTCTTCTCCAACATTTAATGTGAGGAGAAAGGAGGATGGAATTGAAGCATAGTAACGCAGCAACAAATACAAATACGATCTGACCAAGAAGACACGCAACAAAACAAAACAAAACAAAAAAAAGATGCTGCATTCATTCAGTAAAGGCCATAGTTTGAAAGTTTATATTGACACAATAGTGAAGCAGCATCCTCGAGTTCTTCAAGCGCAATCTTAACACCACCAGCAGAGTGCATCTCAAATACAGCAGCAATGTCCTCGATAAATCTTGATTTTGGACGCACTGTTGGTGACCCCTCCGGTAAATCCACAGGAGCAGCTTCACTAATCCTCGCGGACCGCAGGCTTTGTTGCAACTCAATCACGATTGGGACGTCATCTGTGGGGAGAGTATTTAGTTCGTCAAAGAGTTGAAATCGCTTGCGGAGCATATTTTGACGCAGCTCTGCCATATTAATCTTGCTCTTCGCACCTTTAATACGTTTGATAGCCTCTACTCGTTCCTCAGGGCTAAGTTCTTTCCCAGCCCCTTTCCCGACATTTTTTCTACTCGTGACTACCTTGCCACATCTCTTCACCTTGCTTGGGGTATTCCTTTTCACATCTGAGGGTTGCCACTCACTTCCGAAAGGTTGCTGCTCTTGCAGCGTCGACAACGGCTTCTGCATTTCCTGGTCTTTTCCAACTGCTCCCCCTCGTATTCGTTCAGTCCAACGGGGGCAAACGTGTCCCCCTCTCCCTACTAAACGCGAGCTCCGGACCATAGTACTGCTGGATTAGTCGGCCCCTTGAGGGCTTCTGTGACGGGTGGGATGGGTGACTTACAGGCACGACAAGGTGGTTGTCAATCAAATCCTGTGCCGTCGGGCGATCGCGAGGGTCTTTATTGAGCATCCCACGCACAATCGCCTCAAAGCGCGCGTCTAGTCCCGTATTAAAGGGGGTCACTGCCTTGGTGAGAATTTGCTGAATAAGACCGGGCAAATGTTGAGCTTCAAAGGGGTGCCGTAGGGTGCACATTTCATAGAACACCACACCAAGGCTCCACATATCGCTGCGCTGATCGTAGTCCTCCCCCTCGCACACCTCTGGAGAAAAGTAAAGCGGGGTGCCAATCATGCTGTGAGCCGCCACGGAAGTACTCGTAAGAACCGTACACACCCCAAAATCCCCAAGTTTCACGTGGTTTTTTTCTGTAAGAAAGATATTGCTTGTCTTGAGGTCACGATGCACAATGGAGCGGGAATGCAGGTAGGCCAGCGCACAAAGCAGCTCTGCCATCCACTCAATAATGATATCCTCCGGGAAGGGTTGCCCACCCTCCGCTTGTTGTCGTCCAATGAGCTCCTCCAGTGTCGATGCGCAGTGCTCCATCACAATATTGACCGAATTTGTGCCACTAAAACTTTCACGAAATCTGACAATATTGGGGTGATCCACACCATTCATGACAAGGATCTCCTTCTTCGCGCGCAGCTTCTCCTCATCACCTATGGATTCCAGGGAAATTTGCTTTAGCACATAGTGCTTCCCCGTGACAGCATCAGTCACCTTGAACGCGGTCCCCGTAGAGCCCTCGCCCAAGTATTCGCCAATAATATAGCGTGCAAGCTCCGGAGCGGACGTGTCGCGCAGCTGCATCCTAAGTAATTGCCTCCCACCAACAACGCAAAGATAAACACACACTTGTTTACTGAGGCCCCAATATCAGTTGAAGACAAATGAAAGAAAACGGGGAGAGAGAAAAAAAAAAAACAAGACGAAGTGCATATGTACATACACAAAAAAAAAATACTACGCGTAACTCGTGCTTTTCTTTGATTCTTTTTTTTTTTGGTGCTGCTGCTGCTGCCACGGTTTCATTTTTACTCCATGTCCTTATTATGCTTCCTTGTTTATCGTTGTGAAACGCATTCACCCGGAGTTCCGACGGCGTTTTCGAAGCAAATGCATGTAATAGGGCCGGAACTCGGCCGGGATGTGCTGGCCAAACGCGTTCAGCAACTCCGCATCTCGCTCCCCAGCGGCTTCCTTGAAAAGCACTGCGACACCCTCCACTGCACCGGAAATGGTTCGCTTCATTTCATCGCTTGAGAGCGTAGAATTGTTGCGAGTGGCGGCAATTTGCCCTAAATACTCCCGGAATTTGTCGTAACTGGCAGGCTGCAGCTGCCGCTTCAAAAACTGACAAAATTCCTTTGAGGTGGTCCCCACCAGTGACATCGACGCCACCGCCGTGTCAGAAAACGGCAACACGGGTAACACCTGCTTCCTGAACAGCGGCCGCGCAACCGTCGGCGCAGCCGCTGCTGCAGTCGTCACCGTCTTTGCAGGGGCTTCATTCCCACCACATTCTCCACCCACACCTCCTTCATTCAAGACTACTCCATTCGTGGCTGGCGCACGGCAATGCGTTGTAGGCGATTCCTTCGCGTCCGCAATGCGACGTCGCACCTGCTCTCCCTCTTCAGCCTTCGCCTGACGAAGTTGCTCGGCAGCAAACCGCGTTGCCATCTCGGCTGAATCTGGAACTCGTTCCTTCTTTGGAGAAACACGTCGAGCATCGGTCTGCGCGCCACAGGCGCTACGCACAGCAGAAGAGGAGGAAGTAAGGCTCACAACGTCACCTGCGCGACGTCGAAACGGCGCAAAAAACTGTGCCACTGCCGCGTACGCCTCACGGAACTCGCGATGAATGGCGCATCGATCCGCCACCCATTCCGAAAGCCCATCCAGTCGTTCAGCGAAACGCTCATCCGCAAGCAAAACCACGCCATAGTCGTCCTTGTGGCGGATGACGCGGCCGACGCACTGATTAACAGCACGCAACGCCTCGTTAATATACCAGTCATCACCTGTAAAGAGTTTTCCACGCACCTTTGGCCGATGTGGTGCCACCTGCGTCAGGTACGTCCGCTTGAGGCGTACAAACAGTTCCGTGTGGTTTGCAAATGGTATCCCTGCCACCACCACACACCGACCGTGATTGTCCGCAAAATCAATGCCCTCGCTGATTTTTCCACGACATACCGCTAGTAAAATGGCGCCACGCGATGGGGCAGCGTCCACCTCGCGCTGAAAACTTGAAACAATCGTCTGAAGATTGGACGCCTCCACCGGTTCCACAAAGACTGGTTTCAGCTCCTCCATCATTCCCCATACCGTCAGCGTGTCGCTAAGACGACCGCTACCAGCACGCCACAACTCAACTGCGGCATTCAATGCCACATAGCTTGGGAAAAACACAAGAACACCTCCCGGTGTGTTGCGTGATATGTTCACTAGTGACATACCCAAACCCACACGATAATCAACACTATTACGGTACGCATAACTGCCATTCAGTCTTTCACCACTAGGCCCTTTGCATAGCACGCACCCAACAACCTGATTCTGTTGAATGACGTGTGCGCCCTTGAGAACAACACCAAAATCTACCCCAAGTTCCGCGGCAAAGTGTTCCAGGGGTGAAAGCGTCCCGCTCGTAAGAAGCAGCGAACGAAGCCCAGTCACGAGCGTTTGCACTGTGCGCGAATTATCAAGACACCAGTACCCAAGTGATCGTTGGCTGGAGCCCCGGTCAGTAGCTTTGGTCCCCTGCAAAACAAATCGACAGGCTTCATCGTCGCCGTCTTCACATCGCTCAAACACAAACGTCAGGAATTGCTGAACCTTTGAAAGGCCCGATGCGGCACTTTCACTTTGCGCCAACACAGCGATGGCCTTTGTAATGACGTCATTTATGCAACCACCCTGTCGAGGATTGTTACTGCCGAAAAACAAATCCCTCGTGATGAGTGCCTTCTCCAGAAATGGAATCATGTAAGAACCTTCTTGCACAATTTCAGTCACCAGCGAGGCGTCAGTAGCTTCAGGGCGAGACGTCACCTTCTTCTTTTCATCACTTCCACCTTCCTCAAGAATGCAAGATTCCAGGCGGCACAAAACAATTTTCAAAGAGGCAAACTCCTGCTCCTCCATTAAGCTATCCTCAGGGTCATCATCCGCGGGGGAAGACTCCCGCAAGAGCCGCCGCATTGCGATGGCTCTTGAGCAGTCATGAATGGCATTTGTCAGTTCAAGGGGCAGAAGATTCACGCACGACGAGGTCGCCAGAACAGAAGGCAAGTTGTGTGCCTCATCCACTATCAAAATAGATCCTTTTACCTCAAATGGAAGCTGCTTGCGGATAGAGCCGTCAAACACGTAGTTGTATGGCAGAAACACAACGTGTGCCCTTTTTGCATGTTCTCTCTCCGAATAATACGGGCAGAAACCGCATTTTCGACCGTTTGACACCAAATCTTCCATGTCATGTATCCAATTTTCGTCCTCCATGACTGCGTTGTGGCTGCTCCGGGCCTGATAGTCTCGATAGAATCGGCAATTCTTTTCCTCCCTAAGTGTGTTGCACATACCTTGCTGCGCCTGGGCCGTCGAAAGGCGAAGCACCTGCGCGTTGACGCACATGTGTTCCCTGGAACCTAAAACAGCCATAGCAAAGACACCACCATAACGTGTTCGTTTTAGCTCTCGAATCACCTGACTCAACTGAGCATGCGTACGGCTGCAATATATTACTCGGATCATGCCACCCCCTTCGACTTGACACTCCCGATGCTGCATCGTCTGCCTCTTCTCTAGCCAGGCAAGGACTGAACAGAGAAGGCAGAGTGTTTTGCCCGTCCCTGTAGGAGACTCCAATAAAGCGTTGGTACGACCGTTCAAGGTGCCGATAACAGCACGCATGTATTCAACCTGCGCTGGATATGGGTTAAAGGGAAACGACACCTCGACATCACCGACAGGGATTGTACACATTTTCCCAGAGTCCTTGGATACCTTGTTTTAGTGGTCTTCAAGACATAAGGCAAAAAAGGAGTGTGTACTTCCCCCCCCCCCCCCAAACCTATGCGATTACCTGCCAAGTACGCCCTCATCGGCAAATAAACAAAAGCAAAAAACAATAACATGCATATTATTTATTTTACCCATCTATCCATCCTCCACTGCAGATATTGGTGTTACCGTACTGACTGTACGCGATCTGACACCTCAGTGGGTTTTCGCTGGTAAAAGGAAAAAGAATGGAGACCTCATTTTCAAGCGTCTCTCTTCCTTCAGTTATTTCAAACGTGACTGCACCCGTCGGCAAGTCACAGAATCACCGAAAGAAAACAAAACAACAAAACAATTGTGCAAGGCTCAGTCCATCGTTACTGTTTGTCCTCCACCAAAATAATGTGATAACCAAATGAGGTCTTTACTGGCTCCGGTGTCATGCCACCCTTTGGCAAGGCAAAGGCAGCATCTTGAAAGGGGCCAACCATTTCGCCACGCCGCTTCCATCCCAGATCCCCACCGCTGCGAGCTTTGTCCTCGCTGTACTCCCGTGCAACATCAGCAAAACTTGACCCTTCGTTAACCTTATTCAACGCCTCCAGGGCTCGGCTGTACTTCTCACAGAGGATGTGACGCACCTTCACCTTGGTGTATCCTGACCCCACCAGAGGTGTCCTTTGGTGCCTTTGCCGCCACCACTACTCTCACCGTCCTTGTTGCTGGCCTTCTTCTTCT